TTCTGCTACCTTGTGATGGCCTTCGGCCTCAAGAATTCGGGCGCCACCTACACCCGAATGGTGGCCAAGGTCTTTCAAGCTGTCCTAGGACGCACCATGGAGGCTTACGTTGACGACATGATCGTCAAAGCAAGAAGGCCGGCACCCACGCCGACGACCTCCGGGAGATTTTTGCCATCATGCAGAAATTCAACCTCCGGCTGAATCCGAAGAAGTGCACCTTCGGCGTACAAGGAGGGAAGTTCTTGGGCTACATGGTCAGCCGAAGGGGTATTGAGGCCAACCCCGAGAAAATTCAATCCATCATCAACATGGAGCCCCCGCGCAACGTCAAAGAAGTTCAACGGTTGACGGGTCGCCTGGCGGCCCTCAACCGATTCCTCTCTAAGTCAGCCGAGAGGGCCCTCCCCTTCTTCCAAATCATGAGGAAGACGGCGGGTTTTCAATGGACATCTGAATGTCAAGAGGCCTTCGACGAACTCAAGAGGTACCTCTCCTCTCCCCCAGTGCTCTCCAAACCAAAGGTGGGGGAGACTCTATACTTATATCTCGGTGTTAGCCCTGCGGCTATCAGCTCAGTACTGATCCGAGAGGAAGACGGCATCCAACATGCCATCTTCTACGTCAGCAAAACCCTCCGGGAGGCCGAACTCAGGTATTCTCCCGTCGAGAAGACGGTGTTAGCCATCGTTTGGACCGTCAAGAAGCTTGGCCACTACTTTCAAGCTCATCCGGTCCAAGTGCTCACTCATCAACCCCTCGGCGCCCTCATGAGGAGCCCCACAAGTTCCTCCCGAATGGTGAAATGGGCCATCTTCCTCAGTCAATACAACATAGATATCCGTCCGAGGCCTGCCATTAAGGGCCAAGCCCTGGCAGACTTCGTAACGGAGTGCACCGCAAGATCAGCAACAGACGGGGAGCCTTCGGCACCCCTCGATGAGTGGTGGACACTCTATACCGATGGCTCCTCAGCCACCAAAGCATGCGGAGGAGTAGTAGTTCTGATCACACCCGAAGGCTTCCGCGCCTATTATGCCATCCGCTTCTCCTTCAAAGTATCAAACAATGAAGCCGAATACGAAGCCCTCCTTTGCGGCCTTCGGCTGGCAGCGAATCTGAAGGCTAAGATGATCCACGTCAAGTGTGACTCCAAACTCGTCGTGGGTCAAATTTCCGGGGAGTACGAAGCCAAAGAAGGGAGGATGAAACAATACAAAGAAGCGGCTAAGGAGTTGCTCAAGGTGTTTGAGGCACATTCTCTTACCCAAATACCGAGGGCTCAAAACTCCGAGGCCGACATTCTATCCAAGCTTTCGGATGAATCCCCAGAGCACCTCTCCAAAATTGCAAGAATTGAGGAACTCAGCCTCTCAAGCATCCACGCGAGCCCCGTCATGAACATTAACCTGAGGCCGGAGGATTGGATCTCCGACATCATCGCCTTCATTACCGCAGGGCAACTGCCCCAGGACGAAGCCCGCGCCAAGTTAGCAAAGCTGAGGGCTCCCAGCTACACCCTCGAGAATGGGAGGCTTTACAAAAGATCTTACAACGGCACCCTCCTTCGGTGCCTTCATCAAGATGAAGCCGAAGTCGCTATGGAGGAAGTGCACAGTGGCACTTGCTCGGCCCACCAGGGACCCTTCTCCATGTCCCGAAGGCTCATAGTTCAAGGCTACTTCTGGCCCACGATGGCTAGAGATTGTGCTGATCTAGCCCGAAGGTGCACCGCTTGCCAACACTTTCAGAAGGCCCCCGGCAGGCCCGCGGTCAACTACGCCCCCATCAGCACCGCCATACCCTTCTCCCGATGGGGTATCGACCTGGTGGGCCCTCTGCCGAGGGGTACCTCCAACAACAGGTACATCATCGTGGCCATTGACTACTTCACCAAATGGGTAGAAGCCGAGCCCCTCGCCAGCATTACTGAAGCCCGGTGCCGCCACTTTGTTCTCAAAAATATCCTCACAAGGTTTGGCGTCCCCCAACAAATCATCTCCGACAACGGAACTCAGTTCGAGGCGGCCCCCTTCTGTGCCCTTCTTGAAGCTTGGGGCATCAAGCACACATTCTCTTCCGTTGCCTACCCTCAGGGCAACGGGCAAGTAGAGAACGCCAACCGCACCCTCCTCGAGGGGTTGAAGAAGAAGCTGGAAGCCGAAGGGGGAGGCTGGGTAGAAGAACTTCATAACATCCTATGGGCCTACCGCACCACCCATCGGCGTGCAACAGGTGAGACACCCTTCTCCCTATGCTATGGCTTTGAGGCTAAGGCTCCAACAGAAGTAACTCTGCCCACCCGAAGGGTTGAGCAATATGAGCCCGAGGTCAACGACGCCAACATGGCCCTCGACCTTCATCTCATCTCAGAACGCCGAGAGCAAGCTTTCCTCAGGGCCGAAAACTATAGGAGACAAGTCAAAGGCTACATCGACGCCAAGGTCCGCTCCCGGGAATTTCAGGTGGGTGACTACGTCCTCCGACGAAGGGAGGTCAGTCTACCCACCGAAGGAGGAAAGATGGCGCCCAAGTTTGAAGGCCCCTACATCATCTCAGCCATCATCAAACCAGGGACATACAAGCTTAAACGCCCCAATGGGACGGAGGTCCCTAGACATTGGAATGTGCACCACCTTGTCAAATTCTATCAATAAGGCATGAGCGGCCAAGCCCTCATCCTCAGCAAGTGTAAATATCAATGGCCCAAGGCCCCATCTGTTTTTGAAGAATAATCAAAAGGCCAAGCCTTCATCACCTACATATTGTACAAGCGGCCCAAGGCCCCCCCTTCTCTCCTACAAATGAGTGGCCAAGCCCTCATCGCCTCACCAAAATAGGCCCAAGGCCTATCCCTCTCATGAGGGGGAACAACAATTTAGGTACCAAGTACCAAGTGTATGGGTCACCCCCATCACTCTTTGAAGACACCAAGTGTTTTCTCAAACTTTTACATACTCTCCTAAAAAAAAAAAAAGAAAAAAGAAAAAAAAGAAAAAAAAAAAACCGGGGGTTGCAATACCCCTCGGCTCCGGCTGGTGCCAAGTACCCCCGGCTATTTGTGTCCCACACACGAATAAAACCCTTCCCAGGAACGCTTTCCGCGCCATCCCCTAAGGGGAGGCAGGCAACGGACCATGTCCCGGGCCCAGGATTCGACTTCCACAAACGAAACGCTCCCCGCGCTATCCCCCAAGGGGAAGCAGGCAACAGACCATGTCTCGGGCTGAGGGGACGACTTTCAAAACCGAGGCGCTTTCCGCGCTATCTCCCAAGGGGAAGCAGGCAACAGACGATGTCTCGGGCCGAGGAAACGACCCTCAAACCCTTCGGGATATCGGAAGGTCATTCCTGAAGGGGGAGTCAACGGTTTGTTCCTTTGCCTCCCATATAGGCCAAGCCTTTCCTAGACACCAAGTTTCTAGATGCCTCTCCTACACCATCTAAAAAAAAAAAAAAAGATGTGTAGGGGGGAAGGAAACTCCCCGGATACTATTCTCCCCGGAGGCTCAACACTTCGGATATATATTCCCGAAGGCTCCTACAAAGGCACAAGAAAATCATTCGGCAACAAGTCGTCTGGCTACATAGCCGAAGGCTTGGAGTACAAACAGTTCCCCCGGAAGCCCACGAAGAGGCCTTACCAACAGAACTTCACCAAAAACTTGGCTAAGTCCAAATTTTCAATGAGACTAAGCGGCAAATGATATGCCGAAGGCTCCCCCTTTTCAAAAGCTTACTACACGATGAAGCTAGTCTATCTCACATTCGAAGGCAAGCCCTCGGATCGGTGGAACAAGTTCATAAGACCTACAACGGCAGGAGATTCATCAAACTCCTTCATCTGAGGGCTCACTACAATGCCTATTGAAAATCTGGGGGAGATTTGACTAAGTCTAAAAAACAACAACGACCCCCCGGTGATCCCACATTGCACCCGACGGCCATGCACATCTCACGCTCGAAGGTTCCCTACAGCATCTATTGAAACTTCGTGAAAAAATGACTAAGTCCACAAATGTGGACCCTTCGGGGGGGCAATTCTTCAACAACACACTCATTGCCGATGGCCCCTAAACTACTTGGCGATGACCTAAAGCTACACTACTGACGAAGGCTCAGCATTTCCGAGGACATAAGATACAATTTCATTTCTGAAGTTCAGCACCTCATCCGAAGGGTGTTGACAAAAGTTGTACTTAGAAAATTTTCTAAGTTCACAACGAGCCCCCGGCAACCCCAATATACAACTGACGGCTCATGATGGGATTTACAATTAGAGAATTTTCTAAGCCCACAACTACAAGCCCCGGCGAACCAGTACTACAACCGAAGGCTTGCTGTCAAGTCACTACTTAGAAAATTTTCTAAGTCCACCAATCCCTGGCCCTCGAACAGGCAGACAGAAAGAAAGAAAGAAACATACATTCATGCACAAACATAAAGGAGACGAAGGCATTCATTCATACAGAAAGCCCGGAGGCACATCAGTCATTCAAAAGGAAAATGATAAAAGTACGGAGAGTGTTTGTTTACAAAACATGGCCGAAGCCGAAGCCTACTATGGCAAATGTTTACACATAAAATGATTCTAAGTCTCTGCCTCTCTGGCGACGTCTTCCTTCAGCTTCGAGACCGCGTCATCCCCGGCCTCTTCTTCATCAGAACCGCATCTCGCCAGCTCCGAGTCCTCGAGCAGTTGTCTCTCTTCACCCTCGGGGAGGGGGACCCTCACGTCCGGCAGAAGGGGGGGAAGGCCATAGGCTTCAGGCTGAAACTCCTTCGGATCTACGCCGTGGTGCCGGGCCAGCCTCCGGTACAGCATAGCCTGAGTAAAGTATTGGGCGCCCTCGTAAAAACTTTTCCCCTTCAGGGCAAGCCACATTGCCCCGGGGCCTTTCACCCAGGCATCCGCTTTGGCCTCAACAACCGAGGCCACCCACTGCTGGTACTCTTCGGCCTTCCAGCCATCGGCAACGAAAGAAGCAACGGCATCCTCGGCGGCTTTAGCAACGGCTTCGGCTTTGGCCTTATCAGCTTCCTCGGCGGGTGCTTTGGCGGCTTCGGCGGCAGCTTTCTCTGCCTCAGCCTTCCCATTAGCGATGCCCTCGGCCCTGGCCTCATTTTTGGCAGCCTCTAGCCTCTGATCAGATTGCCGAAGGGCCTCCTCCAAACCGGCCAGTTGCCTGATGGCCTCGGTGTTATTAGCAATCAGCTTCCGCATGGCCTCATCAGACTTCGCCCTTTCAACACGGCGCTGTTCCGCCCTCCTGACTAGCTCCCCGAGGGCAATGCTCGACTGCAAACAGATAAATTAGCACTCGGGATCAAATTATGCAAAGATAGGGAACCCCGGGACAAAAGTTAAGAAGGGGAAAAGCACTTACCGTGACCGAGGCTTGAAGGGCCTTAAGCTCGAGAGACTCGTCCTCGAACTTGCCAAGGGTTGATCGATCCAGCGAGGGAGTGGAGCCCCTCAGGAACTCCCTCGGATCAAGGGTGCCATGCATAATAGCTGTCCCCTTCTTGATGGGGAACTGCACCTTTTCCAGGGGCCAAGCCCCCTCATCAAGATCCACTTGGGGGAGGGAATCCGAGGGCTTGCCCGAAGGGAGTTCATCAATAATCACTAAGGGGGCATCCTTGCCCCCCTCACCCCTCTTCTTCTTCTTCTTCTTCTTCTTCTTCTTCTTCTTCTTCTTCTTCTTCTTCTTCTTCTTCTTCTTCTTCTTCTTCTTCTTCTTCTTCTTCTTCTTCTTCTTCTTCTTCTTCTTCTTCTTCTTCTCCGGGGGCATGACGCCCTTCCCGGCATTTTTTCTCTTTAGCTCCCCGTCTTGGGAGCCTCCGGCACCAGCACCGGAATCAACAACGGGTTTTTGGGGGGGGGTCCCCACCCTCCGGGACCTTGGGAGCCCCTGCTTTTTTCAACGCCTCATCGACGAGGGGCTGGTTCGAGGACCCCTCGTCTTTCTTCTTCTTCGGCACCTTGGCCAGCTTCTTTGACAATCGGGCGAAGGCTTGAACGTCCATTATGTCACCTGCAAAAAATAAAGGAAGGATTAGGATCAAAAGAAGACAAGGAAAATTTTTCTAAGTAACACAACAAGAGCCCTCGGTGAACAACCTCCGGCATTCAGATACCCGCGATCAATTACAGGGTATTTTTCGTCCTTTTCCCCCGGAAGACGGTATCTTCGGAATCCTAACAGATGGAGCTCCTCGGGTAGCGTCGCTTCCTTAATAGCAATTACTTTCTCAGAACCCGCGGGCTTCTCAATCAGTTTCCTTCCTGCCTTATCGAGGGCCGCATTGCCTACCTTCGGGTGCCTTTTGAAATGATTATTCAAAGCCCTCGGGAATGGGTTTTCAGCCAGCCTGATGTAGCAAAACTTCTCCTTCCATTCCTTATGGGAGGAGGGGGTCTCGGAGAACAATTTCCAAGTCGGGACCTGTTGCAAGTTGGCATATCCCCCGGCGTGTGAATGACCTCCCCGGCACAGGTTAAAGGATAAGAAGAACTGGTCCAGTGTTGCTTCCACCTTCCGGCTACGACAGAGGGCCAGGAAGCCTGCCAGGTAATAGTGGCTGTTCGGCGTGAGCTGGCATGGGGCTAACTTCACAAATTTCAAATACTGCAGGACGAAGGGGTGTAGGGGGAACCTAAGCCCTAGCTCCACGGACAAAATGTGCACCGAGAAACACCCCTCCGGAGGGTTAGACAGCAAATCTTCCGGACCCGGCTCCACAACCTGCGCCGACGGTCCCACAAGGACCTGCAGGGCATAACACTCGGCACTCGAGGCCGTGGTCTTCACCTCGAGGGCAGTGGTGTCCAGATAGGAGTGGCCCTCGGGAATCCCAACTGGTCGTCCCGCGTCGACGGCTGCCTGCTTCTTCTTTGGGGCAGCCCTCGCCTTTTTCTTCTTCCTGCCCTCGGCTACCCGGAGGGGTTGAACATCTAACGGCCGAGAGGTGCTCGCCCCACCAGCTCCCCGTGAGGGCATGACGGCAACCGTTACCCGACGGCGCTCCTTCTCCTCCTCCTCTTCAGCCACTTGGAGGGCGATGGCCATCTCTTCATCCTCCGCCACTTGTTCAAATTCCTCTGCCTCCATTTCTACCCGAAGGTTGCTCTGCACCTCCTCGGCTATGGCGAGGTCATTGTTCGTCGAGGGCTGGTCGCTCGATGACTCCACCTCAGAGTGGCTTTCGGTCCCTACCGACGGCTCCCTCGAAATGTCTTGCGAATCGCTTTGAGAAGACATCTTACCCAAAGAAGGCGTTGGAGGGTTTGAGGAGAAGACACTAATCAAGGATTCTAGCCGAAGGCTATTACAGGCCCTAACAGTAGATCTAAGGCTACGAAGCAAAACTTACTAAATAGGCGAAGAACAGAAGAAGAACTGACCTTAGAAATGGGGTTTGATCGAAGCAAAGACTTTCTCTCTCTAGAAATTTTGGCAGAGCTTCGCTATCGCATAAAATCGCACAAGGGATATGAATTCGGACTTGGGGTATTTATAGGCTCCCAGCCTCGAAATCTGGGCCTCGATTTAAAAAGGCCATCATTACGGGCCGCCGGCTCAGCCAATGAGTGGCACCCGCCCACCTTCGACCAACGAGGACACGCCACGTCAACCCCTCTTCCAACGGCTATATTACAACGACTATATTTCGGCAAAACTGGGGGTGCCTTCGAATGGTAGCCTCCGGCTATCACTCACCACACCTTTCTGCCAGCAAATTTCATCAAACGCCTTCGAGCTTGCGGCAGCGTAAGCCCCCGACTTGTCAGTATTATCACCCCTCGGGTTCGCATCAACACATCATAACTCCTTCAGCCCGAACATGCCTTCGGCCTAAAGGAGTGGGGGACTGGGATACACCCCTCGGGAATCATGCAGGACAAAAATTCCTCATGCAAAGATTTACAATTGACGCATGTAGCATCCGGGTGAACATCAAAGCAGAAACTTTCGGGTACATACTTCAACACACCCTTCGGCAGAGGTAGAGTATCAAAATTTTTTCCCCGAGTCACTTTGCGGAAATGAAGCAACCCTCATCACAACACACGCAGGCAATACATCCATGCTTTCCTCAGAAAACCCTCAACATGTGAGGGACTGAGGGAAGCCTTCGGCAATCAGCAGAAGGCAAGTTCTCAAGCAAGGGCGCCCAACCAAACGATGAAGCCTCCAGAAGAATCAACACAACTACTCCTTTTCCCTCAAGTACCTTTCGGCAAAAGGAGTGAGGGACTCCTGATGGAGTATATGGCCCAGGAACCCCCGGCCCATAGACTCCTACTTCTCCTACACAAGTCCATTGAGCCCAGAGAACAACTCAGGCCCAAATGCAACGGCCCGAGCCTCAAAGTAGCCCAGAATACACACTGAGGTGCCTTCGGCCTCCTTGGCTGAAGGCTCCAGAACTCACAGGATAGCCTCTTTGGCATAAGAAGCTGCTGGGAGAAAACGGGCGAAAACATAAGCCCTCGGCATTTTCATGCCCTCGGCATCAGGAAAGCCCTCGGCTACACAAGGGGCCCTCGGCTACACAAGGAGCCCTCGGCTACACAAGGAGCCTTCGGCTGAACTAGCTCAATCATCAAAGATTCCTTTTGGAGACAGCCAACCACCGCATTTAATACCACGTCACATCCGCCAACCGCATTCAATGCGGTTGACGTACCGCTGCCGGTGCCACCGGGCTGATGTGACCCTTCGGCCGTTGGATCACTGACACGTGTACTCTCATCGCATTTATTGCTGCTATAAATAGCAGCCCATTTCTCCTTGTAAAACATCATCTACACACAACCCCATATCTCGAGTTCATTTAATAAATCGACTCTCTCTCCTCCTATTTGCTCTGACTTCTCTCTAAGTTATTCCCGCGATAACCCCTCGGATAAGATACCCCGGGTAGACTATCCATCACACACCAATGTAAATAATACGCAACCTTCTCTCATCAAGACATCGCCAAGCCATTATACTCGTGAAATCAAATACACTACTATCCAACTCAAAGTTGATGATGTTTGCAGCGGAAACGCATTCGAGAAAACGCAATGGATATTTTCTCAAGCAGGGAAATATTGAAGAATGGAATGTCGATAATGAAATACCATACCTGAAAGAATGGAGATTTGGCAATCTGCAAACCCCTACTTGTGCTAACAATTAAAGTTCTCAATATAAATCATGTGATGAATTTTAATTTGATGATGATTACACTGAGGCAAAATGAGAAATCTGAAACTAAGGTGACCAATTCTATTCAATGTTTGAAAGGACGTTTTAAGACTCGATGCATCTTCATTTTGTGATGTCAAGCCTAAATTTAAAGGTACTTTAATCTGTGACCCTGAAACTTTATGTATATTTCCTTTACCATTCAAAACTCGTCAATCTAAAACATATCATCTCATATAAATAAGAATGATTCCTAAATAAGTTGCACAAACTAAATCTTTATTCTTAGCTTCTCTTTTACCAAATAATAAAACCAGGAAAAATGCTAAAATGAGAAAAGAAATGCAACACTTGGAGCCTGAATGTCTTTTAATTCAAAAGCAATTTGAAATAAAAGAAAATTTTAAGAAGATTTATTACTTTTGCTTTTATTGTTAAATGAAAAAAAATAGCCATATATGTTTGAGCTATTTGTATATTGCTGGAAAGAATAGATAAGAATGACTGTAATAGCTTATTCTTTCTTCTTTCACTTGGAAAATAAATAAAGAATCATATTATATTGAAGAGATTAAAGAGAAATAAATGGCAAACTCAGCATGCCAAAATCTGGAAGGTAATGGATTATTGACAGAATCTATTTATCAAGAACCATTGGCTAGGGATAAAAGTAACGACATGGCAAGTACTATGGGGAATTTGAAAACGGTGTTGAAGAGTGATCAAGATTATGTTGAAACCCTTTTAAACTTGATGAAGACTATATCAAGAGCCCGTTTGGTAGCACGAAAATCGCCTGATTTGGCTGATTCTGCTGAAATTTATGAACTTTTGGCTGAAGTGGCTCCATTGGCTGATTCTGTTGATTTAAGAAAAAAATATTTTTAAAATATATTTTATTATTAAAATAAAGAAAAAATAGTTAAAATGGTCATCTACAACAACTTCAGCCAATACAGCCAGAAAAGTAACTTTAACCTTACTTTTTCTGCTTATTACACAATTCAGCGTGCGAAAGCAAAAGTTACGTGTTTGGTGAAAAAGTTAGCTGATAAGCCTGATAAGCTGAAAAACAACATTACCAAACGGCCTCCAAGTCTTAAAGGAGAGCCATAACCCAAGCTTAAGAGTGTAAAATAAGAAAACCTTTTAAGCTTAGAGAAGACTATGCATGTCAAGCTTAAAAGAAGAGAGTGATATCCCAATCTTAGAAACTTAAATTAAGAAAACCTTTTTACATGTTGGACTAAAAATTAATGGAATTTTATCGGTCCAAGACCTAGAAGATGAGTTAACTATCAATTCTGGAATAATTATATCAATAAGGGACTTATAAAATTACTTTCTATCGATGCAAGCCTTAAAAATTAACGCTGTTAAACTTTAATCTAACAGAAATTTGAGTCGTCCACACCTCCATTAAAAATTGCCACATGTGTGTCGCGTATACCATACAGCCGGCTGTACGGCTGGCACCGTACAACCGGTGGCAGTTTTGTAATTTCGATGAAGTTCTTCGGTTCTATTAAATGAGCATTGATGTAATTTGGATGAGCATTGAGTCTGGTTTTCTGAGTATTAGGAGCC